CTTGTTTTTCCTGCTGTGTCAGAGGCAGAGCTGTTGTCTGCTGCTGGGGAATATTAGTTTCTTCCCAGGGCCGTCCCTCATTTACTTCATTACCCAGTCCCCGTCCCACCCTACTTAGCTGGCCTGGTGCTCTGGCGCTCTCACTGTCTGTCTGGTTCTCTCTAGCTCTCACTGTCTGTCTGGTTCTCTCTAGCTCTCACTGTCTGTCTGGTTCTCTCTAGCTCTCACTGTCTGTCTGGTTCTCTCTAGCTCTCACTGTCTGCTGTCTGGTTCTCTCTAGCTCTCACTGTCTGCTGTCTGGTTCTCTCTAGCTCTCACTGTCTGCTGTCTGGTTCTCTCTAGCTCTCACTGTCTGCTGTCTGGTTCTCTCTAGCTCTCACTGTCTGTCTGGTTCTCTCTAGCTCTCACTGTCTGTCTGGTTCTCTCTAGCTCTCACTGTCTGTCTGGTTCTCTCTAGCTCTCACTGTCTGTCTGGTTCTCTCTAGCTCTCACTGTCTGCTGTCTGGTTCTCTCTAGCTCTCACTGTCTGCTGTCTGGTTCTCTCTAGCTCTCACTGTCTGTCTGGTTCTCTCTAGCTCTCACTGTCTGTCTGGTTCTCTCTAGCTCTCACTGTCTGTCTGGTTCTCTCTAGCTCTCACTGTCTGCTGTCTGGTTCTCTCTAGCTCTCTGGTCTGTCTGGCCCCGTGTAGCTCAGTTGGTAGAGCATGGCGCTTGCAACGCCAGGGTTGTGGGTTCAATTCCCACAGGGGGCCAGTATGAAAATAATAATAATTATGCACTCACTAACTGTAAAGTCACTCTGGATAAGAGCGTCTGCTAAATGACGTAAATGTAAATGTTCTCTCTAGCGCTCACTGTCTGTCTGGTTCTCTCTAGCGCTCACTATCTGTCTGGTTCTCTCTAGCGCTCACTGTCTGTCTAGCTCTCACTGTGTCTGTCTGTCTGGTTCTCTCTAGCGCTCACTGTCTGTCTGGTTCTCTCTAGCACTCACTGTCTGTCTGGCTCTCTCTAGCGCTCACTATCTGTCTGGTTCTCTCTAGCTCTCACTGTCTGTCTGGTTCTCTCTAGCGCTCACTGTCTGTCTGGCTCTCTCTAGCGCTCACTATCTGTCTGGTTCTCTCTAGCTCTCACTGTCTGTCTGGTTCTCTCTAGCTCTCACTGTCTGTCTGGTTCTCTCTAGCTCTCACTGTCTGTCTGGTTCACTCTAGCTCTCACTGTCTGTCTGGTTCTCTCTAGCTCTCACTGTCTGTCTGGTTCTCTCTAGCTCTCACTGTCTGTCTGGTTCACTCTAGCTCTCACTATCTGTCTGGTGTTCTCTAGCGCTCACTGTCTGTCTGGTTCTCTCTAGCACTCACTGTCTGTCAAGCTCTCACTGTGTCTGTCTGTCTGGTTCACTCTAGCTCTCACTGTCTGTCTAGTTCTCACTGTCTGTCTGTCTGTCTGGTTCTCGCTAGCTCGCTCTTTCTCACTCGCACTCACCCACTTATCGGTACTCATACTCTCACCGGTGTTCTCTCACTCGCTCTCCTGTTTTCAGTATGATGATTGATCTTTTTATATAGCCTTCTCTTTCACATACACTTTCACACCCCTTGTAGTCCTTATCTGGGATGAGGTCTCCCCTCTTGTTCAATATGCTTGAAAAGGCTGATCTTGGATCAGAACTACTCTGAGACGCTTTATGAATACGGACAAGAGAGCAATGCATACCTCCCTTCCTCCCTAGTGTCTCAGCTGGTTAATGAGGTGTGCTCCTTGTCTGCTATCTGAGGTCCATACTTATAGGGCTTGATTAATCATCTGTATACAGCGTTCTGATAGCTTTGTTGCATCACTCACTTACTGCATCAATCACACAGCACTTTGACATGATGAAGATCTCTGATCAAGCACACAGCACTTTGACATGATGAAGATCTCTGATCAATACAGATTAGTCAAGGATTTAGATGAGACGCAACCCTCAGAATATCCTGAGCCAGCATTAATGCCAAGGATCT